TTATTCTACTACTACACACACACACACACACTATATATATATATATATATATATCCTAAAAAAAAAAAACCTTGACTGCTGTGAGGTTTGAAGTCACCAGGTTCGATTGAAGAATCGGTTCAATGACATTCTCTCCGTTTTTACAGGAAGAACTGATATCAGTGTCAAATTAAATCTCCTTGGAACATTTCCAGCTCGTTAAATAATACACGTTCTCCGTGGAGGATGTAGAAATTGAGGATAGAGCTTTTAGTACTTCATAACCGGTCACATTGTAAAGCTCAATGATTTGGTCTCAATATAACACATGCAAGCTTCACAACTTGTGGTTTCTTTAGTATCACATTTATATCTTGAATTTGTTTTCTGGTGATTAGCAAGTATATAGGGATCAAATTAAATCAATCTTTTTGTTTATTTTTATGCTCATGATTTTTCCAAGTATGAAGAGTAATAAACGTAGTGGCATGAAGAGATGGAAAACCGAGCAAGCGCACGAAAGCCATCGATCGAATTGCACGTCAATTTTATGTACCTATGAGTTTTGGTTTCATTACATGGCAGATTGTGGTTTCAATAAACAGCGAAAATATACGTACATTTGGAATACAGAAAAATAGAGGGAAAAGGTCCACTCTAGCAACATTAGTTGTATACTAAGAGAACTGAATCAAATGTACCAAAGGATCAATACAAGATATTTTGTGTTCGTTCTATATGTTCCCGTGGTACGACTAAGACATCCAAGAATGTATACAACATATAAAGCAGAAGGTAGTTTTCTTTCACTCGAATGTAGATTTTTTTCCTGAAAATGTTCTATGACAATAACCTTTACATTGAGCGTTTTTAAGTTTCGGTTTTCTTATAGTTCTTCCGCCTCATACTCGTCAGAAGTATATAATCTATTCGGATATTAGCGACATGGAACAGATAAGCCTAAAGGTATATCTTCATGTAACTTGTTGCACCTTTGGAACAGGTACGGAGCAAGATTGCCAAAGATGGCATAGTTCAGGGTTGTTGCTTTACATGAAAAAGTATAAACGACATGAAGACTTGAAATAACGCTGTCTGACTACATTCCATTCATGTGCACGTGGAAGAAAGAAAATTATAATGTTTTTCTTTTTGTCTTAAATTTGATATCACGAGTTATGAGCTATTATAACGGGTTTTATTCTTTAACTGCATTTGAATTTCAATTCAGCCGCTCAGGTTAATCGAAAGACAGTGACGTTCTGTAGATGTTTATTCAATATGGTCATTAGCAGTTCTCATAATTAAAGGTGTTAACGTCAAATATGTTTGTGATTGTATTTAAAATAACAAAACTTAACGGTATTACAGCGTATTCACTCGAAACCAAAGAATGAAAGTTAAAAATTATTCACATACATTACAAAAGTATGAGTGTTTTATGGGTGAAAATACTACAAACAAACCACTCTTCCACGAAAAATAAACTTGGTAACTGTTTAACAACTCCAATTCCACCTTAAATATTTAGTAAATAATTGTATACACTTTCGGGGATAAAAAAAAAAAAAGAGAGAAAATATTACGTTTTTAGCAGGTCTGTATCTAATGATAAGCACCCGGTGGCTGAGAGGTAAGTCTCGGATCTTATAACACTAAAAATCGGGTTTCGAGAACCGCGCTGGGCAGAGCGCAGTTAACCCATATGCGTAGCTTTGCGCTTAACAGCGAACAAACATATAAAATTATAAATTTTACATTTACATTACTATATATATTTTATAAACTTCAACCACTTTTGATACTTATTAGACTTTGTTAATGTAAACGCAAATACAATTATTACAGCCAGTCACTTAAATAGATTTGAACTTTATTTTTGTAACGCCATTCGTGGTTTAGAAACTACGATCAATATACATCTGCAATTGTTTTAAGTATCATTTTCAGCGAAATCAACAAAATATGTTTAGCGCCGAACAAATAAAAGTGACTATATTTTTCCTTGTATTACTGTGCTCGTACCAGTTTATTATTTTACATGCGACAAGTCGTCAAGCAGTATCATTAATCAAATAGGAAAGTATTCGGTAATCCGAGCGCCGTCAGAAGGTGATCTTTTTTCCTCTCTTATTTTTCACGGATGTATTCACCCCTCAAGAACTTTCTACATTCTAAAAGAACTCAGATTTCTCGAATTGGGGTTTATCCACTTTTTTATCCTACGGCTATTTTCAAGACATGATAGAAAAACAGTCTGTAACCAAAAGTTTAACAAGCAGACTGTGATATATACTGCACACAGTATTAACTGTCTACTTTCCATCTTGAAATTTTTTTTTTCTCCAAGCAAATCATAGCGCCTACTCAACTGTATGGACATACGTTAAGATGTAGATATAGCTACTGTAATTTATAACCGGATTACTTACGCATCAGATTGTTTTCCCAACATCTTTCAGTAGAGATTTCTCAGGTGTTCAAAAACGTCACGTTATCTTCATCAACGTGAAACATCTTTAGTCTAGCCTATCTAATCAATTGTGTTTGTATTCACGAATGTGATAATATGCATAACACACACACACACATATATATTTATGTATGTAGATAGTGTGGTATTTTCACGTGAAACTGGTTCCCTAAAGAGCAACGGGATAAGTTTGCAGAATAACGAAAGATTTGACAAGATGTTTATTACACAGTAGTTCTGAACTTCTCTGAATACCCTAGTTCTTGAGAACAAATAAGCGACTGTACATTGTACAACACACAATAAAGCAACCTTTATTAAATCACAAACAGTTACCTTGGGTGCCGGGTAGTAGCTTTTCCTGAATAGTCAGTCGTTTTCACTTCAAATTGTATCGGATTGAATCGTATATCAAAATGACTAAACCTAACGTTACTTATTTCATAGGTTGTGCCAGACTTACCCAGAGCAACTAACACTAATTAAGTGACTGATCGTTCCCATTCAAACTTAAGGTAGGTCGTCACCTCGAGGCATAGCCTGACCGACCACTGATGTGGACATTCTTACACAATATACATAAGCAGACAAGATATAACATCAAGAGGATGACATAAAGGCAACTTAACGAATTTCTTGACCATTTGCTTTATCAAAACTACATATACATAGAATAATTTATTAATTCCGAAAAATACTATATAAAGATAAGAAGGTAGAAAACGTATGGTATGCTTATATACGACAATAGATGGTGAAAGGGTGGGTTGGTATGTAAATTTAAATGTAATTAAATGAACTTTCGAAATGATCACCTAACATATCATAATGATACCAAAAAACAAAATGAAATTTATTTTGAGATGTTTAAACACAAAAGATGGAAAATTAAGTTTTGTTACCAATGAACACTAAATATCATGCTGTTTAATGGAGGGCTTTTTGTTAATTGAAAACATCATGCTAATTAGTTTACTTAATTATAACTTCGGTTAAACTGCAGCAAAACTTATATAAGTTATAAGTAACCCTACACATCTCATATGTACAAACGATTATGTCACTACTTAAACTACACACTAATTTAGGTAGATTTATGTCACTTTAAATTTATACGACTGAGTACACTATATCATATTAATTAATA